ATTACTGGAGAAAATATATTCATTGTACTTCGTAAAAATAGACTTGGTTAAGCTACTACTGCACCAAAAATGCACACTCGCCGTCCAGACAAGAATTATGGCGAGTTATACAAGTACCAGAATAAAAAAAATGACATTCAATTCAGAGGAGGAAGGTCCCCCAGTGTTATTTCTGTCTTCAATTTTAAGACTTCATTTAAAAGAAGGTGGGGTTCGGACGGAATATTTGTTGGATTTGAAGATGTGAAAGTTATCCCATATCCACATTTGGGGAACCCTGAGCACGCCTTTAAGCTCCGAACTGTCAACTGCCTCTTCACTTTATGAGGTTCATAAACAAAGATGTTTCGGCATTTGGCAGCTGCTCATGCTTTCTTCTTCGAGTACAATTCGTGCTTTTCCCCATAAGAAGAAAAGAAGTTGGAGATGCATGTAAAGTTGGGGAACACATTCGCCACATCCTGGAAGCAGGCAAATCCAAATGCTGGCTGCTAACATATCCTGATGCAGAGCAGTAGAGTGCCGACTTATGTCAGCAATAATAAAAATAGTGCGAACTTTGCGAAATTCATGGAGAGAGATTCATCCTCAAAGTCTATAAATCAGTATGAGAAAAATGATCATTATCTTCTCTCAGAAAGTAGCGAGATATTTGGGAAGATTCAAGGTTTCGGGAGCTAATAATAAGTCGGAATTTTGAAAAAGTATCGAAATGGGTATAAAACTTTGGAACTACATATGAATGAATGAATGAATGAATGATGCGCTAGTTATTTTTGGCGAGAATCCGGCCAGCTTAAATTCTTAAAGTGATGCGTATCCCATTCTTTACGTTCAGATTTATTTATTTTATGACATTTGGCACTGACTGAGGAGTTGTTGGATTCCATGTAGAATGTGGTGTTTTATTGTTTTATCGGATGACGTCACGAACCATGGGAGACGTGGTTTACAAGAATAATGTGAAATATAAGGGTGCACCAGCTTTGAGTGAAATAATATATGTGTGTCAGAAGAAGAAGAAGAAAAATTCCCATCTCGATACCCATATTAACGCGATCTCTCTCGGCGTCATAAACCGGGTTTGTTATAGGGTTTGACGCCACTGAAAAACAACCACTTTCGCCACGGGAGTCTCTCTTTTCCAAGAGTTGTTTGTTGTTAAAAGTCCGCTGGGATTTGGTTTTTGGTCGGTCGTCATACGACGAATGAATATGCAGGGATCGAATGTGTGATAAGTTCGATAATTTGATCGTCACTCACTTACTCAACGGGACAAAGGGTATTTATGTAAGTAATGTAAACTAATGTCTAATTTGTGAGGAAATTGGGGTCCTTTGTGCGAAACTGAAATGAATACTGAGCCCAGGCCAGGCCAGATTGGAAGTTTTTGCAAAATGATGAGGAAATGTCATCAGTTTCCTCTCCTCTTGAGGGACTGAGCACACCGAGGAGATAATTAACTCGAAAATAACCATGACCAGATCGGGTGAAAGTTGGAAAGTTTTAATTTCTGGAGTGTTGCTTAATATCAGTGGCCGCGGAAGGACAGAGGGACAATGTCCCCACGGTTGTTCGATGTCCGCATCATCTCCCCATCTTATATAAACCCGGCCCTCCCCTATCCTACATGTTAATGTCCCCACACAGCTTCTGCGGCCACTGCTTAAAATGTATTTGTATATCTATCGAATTTGTAATTCTCAGGAACCCATTCTTCCCTTCCTGCTGCGTCACTGCTTTTTTCCTGTGCAAATATTTTGAGCCGTGTCGAAAACGAAATTAAATCGGGGTACTTTCGTCATTCCATTTGATTTACAGATGAGTGAGTGGTGTCATGTTTTAGTTGGTTGACTGCGCCTGCATAATACTTCACTTCTTCTCAGAAGAGGACAAAACATTTGCTTGCGTCGGTCCGTCGGCAGAAATAAAGACTTGTTGACACTGGATTGATTCTGTTAATTGATTCCAACCAACTTAAATCCGCCCCGTTTTGTTGAGCGAGAACAATAAAAGGAAAAGGACGGGAATGAACCTGTTGTTGGGAAGGTTTAACTGTCTTGTTTTGAAGAGAGAGACACCAGATATCTACTGGTTGGACCAAGTTTGTGCGTCAATCGGCATTCTTCTGATTAATCGACGTGGGATGAAATGGATGTGTGAAATTGGCTTTTTATTTATACAAAGAGCTGAATTTCAATTGGTCGTCCCTTTTTGGAAAGCACGTCACTTTTTTACAGGTGTTTTAGTCAGCTAGCATCCTTTTCAGACGATATTCATAAATAATTCGTCCAATTATATGTAGATTCCATTGTTTCGGTCAACGACCATTTAAGCCGATATGATGATTAATTATGACATAATTGTTATCAAATAACCGGAAGTGAGTGAATAGAGTCGCAACGAAACGAGACATTTCCCACACAAATTGGTTTATTTTAAGATTTATTTTATTTATGTGTGGTCGTGGTGGTATGTATAGCGTTATCATATTTATCCGTTTGAAACGAAGCTATACATACTTTACATGATTTCCAATACAAACAAATCCTAGCAGAGTCACTGAGCGAATTAAATGCTTTTGCCAAACTTGTCTTACTTATTTGATTACAAGTTTGGTCTGCCAATTTCCGCTTGGTTTTGCCCGAAGGGATCCATTTTCATTCCTTTTCACTCTCCGGTTGGAATTTGGAATGGAATTTTGCAGACTTATTTACTGGCAGGTCTCCCACCACCCAGTAATAAGTCTACAGCACCAGTGGCAGCGGAAGCCGTGGGGACATTAACATTGTAGGATAGGGGAGGGAGGGGTTTATATCACATGGGGAGATGATGCGGGTGGCGACATTGTCCCCATGCTTCCGCGGCCACTGTACGACACCACCACAAATAGATTATTATATGAATATCACAACTCCTGCAAAGGTGCATGAAAGTAGAGGAATTTGCGAATTTCGTCAATTTCATGCCATCATGGCAATTTCAATTCACTCCGTTTCTCTAAAGGGTGCCTTTTGCTAGGCGCATATATCTCGTACCCTCCTGCCTGCTTAACTTAACTTAATATTTATACGTAAACATACATACATACAAACCACGACTAAGAAAGAAGCCATCTGTATCAGGTGGGTGGTTTGGGTGGGTGGGTGTAAAGAGTCAAGTGTGAAATAATACTCATTAGTTTGACTTTGTATGTCGATGTCGCGAAATGAAAAGAGATCGCGATTCGTACTCTTGTTAGTTTCCTTTATGGCACTATTTACGTACTTTCACCTCATTACTGTAACCCTTTTCGATTCAATTCCCCCAAGCAAATCTGCCTCCACCACTGCTGACACTTTCTCCTTAGGTTTGGTATGTGCCCAGTGCGGAAATATTTTAATGGGGGACCAGATAAATAGTCGCCTCTCTCTCTTAACGAGCAACACAATGAAAAACTTTGTGGATTTATTTTATTGGTCGACGAAACGAAAGGACCATTTCCTGGCCCCACGTGGGGAAAGAACATGAAGGGAAAAGAAGAGCCTTTTCATGTTCGAGGCAAATTCAATTACGAAGCATTTTTAAGTTTAAAAGGTCAAATTATGCTGCAAGGGTTATGTCGGGGACTTGTTGTTCCTATTCCTTAACGCTAAGCAAGAGCTGGAACAACTTTCACTTAAAGAGCGAAAAAGTTGTTGTTCCGTGCAAAATTTGCTGGAGCTTTTTCGCAGAATATTATTATTATGGCGGCATCGTCATAACATAGGGGAGGATGCAGTGGCCGCGGAAGCCGTGGGGACATCTGGGGACATTAACATTGTGGGATTGGGGAGGGATGGGTTTATATAAGATGGGCAGATGATGCGGACATCGAACAACCGTGGGGACATTGTCCCTCCGTCCCCTGCACGCTTCCGCGGCCACTGGGAGGACGAAGGAGGATAGATAGATAGCTCTACGTATTAAATATTTTTGGCACGATACGATTTCCATCAAAAATCTCACCTCTAACCTTTCCCACCCGAGAGGAAGAACAAGTCATGCCTGGAGTGAGTGACAAAGAAGCGATGAAGGGAACTAAAATTTTTGACCTCATGCAAACTTACATAGATATCCATCCACCCTCACTTTCTCCCAGTTAAGACGACCTCCTCGCTCCTTGTGGTGGTGACATTTACTTTCACTCAAGAAGTTATGAGGCGAGGAGAGAGTCTCATCATCTCGGTAACTTCTTTCTTTCTTTTCCTGCTGTTTCTTCTTTCTCAACGTGGGGAAAGATTTGGAAAAATATGTGACGTTGAAGAAAGTGAGAGATTTTCACTAAAGACACCCCACTGCCCAGACCTTTCACTTGTTCAGCACCTCATCTGCATATTATTCATGAAGGAGGGAAAGTGATGATGGTGGTTGGGTGGGTGTAAGGATGGGTAGAAAAAGCTCTACCTCGGGTGGGTAGTCATATTTCTAAGGACATGATTCGTTAATTGTCCTATGCCGGTGGTTGGTATTGTTATTTAATATTGTTAAGTTAAATAATATATAGTAGGTTGTCCAATCAGGGGACAAAATATGTATCGGATTGCGTTATTACGTATGATTACATAATGATATGAATGTATTTAAATTGTTGTTTTGTTCATTGGAGTAGAAATTGTATTAGCTGATAATAGATAATATATATGTATGTACGTAGTTTAGTAATTCGTCACCCCAACTAGTTAAGGTCAAATATATACAATTAGAAAATTGGCATGAGGATCGGGCTTATCTCAAGATTTGTGCAGGTTTGATTAGGTTATTTTAGGATTTGGATTTGATATCCGCGTGGGATGAGAGGATGATGAAAATACATATGCAATTCTTACACGGTAATGGCCAATCAAGTAGAGAATTATGGTTTAATTACGCGGGGCCTGTTCATCTGATAAGGTTCTGTTATTTGGATTAGTCATCCGTGAATCGGAATAATATACTATATTTACAGATATCAGAATCCAATTGTTGATTGTGCAAATATGTAAATTTATATTTGACAATATTTAAACTTGCCATTTCTTTATTTATTCATTTAAAAAGTTTAGTGTAAGTGATACACAAATGCAATCGGAATAACTGTTAAATATTATTAATAATCAGCAGACAATTTAATAATAAATATTAGTTTTAGTAAAACCTATTTTTTTGGAAGGATCATATTTAGACCGTGGTACTCATAAGTAAATTCTTAAATTTAAAATAAATACATCATAAATACGTATGTACGTATGTGAAATCATTAATCACAGTAGAGTTACCGTCAGATAAAATACATATTAAATCAGCTCAGATAAATTGGCAAAACATTTTACAAGGTAAAAGATACACAATAATAAGCTTATTGTTGACTTAGGCCATCACATTGACATTGTGAGAGAGAGAGAAAAACAGCAGGTGTTATATTCGCATAGTATTAGAACAATTATTAAAAGAAGTTGTATGATCTATGAATAAGTACGTTATTGTGCCACAAAAATATCACTGGTTGTTTCTCCTCTTCTTCTTTCTTCATTTGTCATTTTAACATGTCCTTAACTAAAGTTTCGCTAAAATAAATGATTGAATCTAAAAATAAGTACATAACTTTTTTCGCATCATCACATCGCATGGCGTTTTCATCCCTTTCCAGAGAGACTGAAACTAACTTCTGTCAGACTAAAAAGTTGAGAATGTTATTATTAAAAATATCTGTACACAAATATTTACTTTTGGAAATAATTGTTTTGCAAGGATAAAATGGTACAATGTAGTAATGATGAAGGTTGAATTATTATTACAAAAATGGTTGTTCAAGGTACAATGCACAAGTCTATAATAAGTAAATACTACTAGGAATTAAAAAAATGGTTGTCCAAAAGTAGATTGTCCGTAAAGGGAAAACTTATAAAACAATGGCAAACAGGAACAGGACTATTAATACAATACTTCTATTACAAAAAAGTCTTCACTTTCGTCTTAAATTTATCGGACAGTGGTGAAACAGACAGAGTGTGAAAGATGAGAAATTGAGTTTAAAAGTGGCCAGAGAATTTGGAAACGTTACAGACATAGCGTGGGATAGAACTATTAATTGTAATATATTATTATTCTCCATGGACATGAGGAGAAGAACAGAAATGACGCAGACAGGTTTACATGGTGGACCACCAATCATACATTGGTTAAATCCTTCTCCCCACTCAAATTTATATCTGTGTATTTCTAAATTTCCTAGTTCCAATCCATTGTAGGAGTGAGTTAGTGAAAACGAATGAAGTATTCGATGTACGTGGTGGTGGTGGTAGCGTTTGTTGCTGCACTCGTGAAAATATAGCGTTGCGTTGGCTGGTTTTGACCACTGAATTGACAAGTGTTACATCTCTGAGGAGGAATGAGGTCTTGAGCGCTGACGTCTACGAGCCAACTCGGATTGAACGATAGGGCCCAACGGTGGGGCCTTTGGACTTTGTGACAGAGCCGAGTACGTGGCTTGAATGGCACTCTGAAAATACAAATCACACAATCGTCTTTTTTTACTTTTTGTTTGAGATACCTTTCTCCAAAAATAGGAGGTGGCGTTATATAACTTGTATGGAAAGAAACATGAGAAGTGTGATACTTTTAAACGCTTTCTTTGTACGAATTTTCATGTAACAGAGCACTCAATAAGAGTCGATTATGCAATCAATGGGTAGACTGTATTACATACAGTCTAATAATAAAATGGATAATATACATATACGACCCTCTTAACATTAAAGTTGTAAGCATACCAAATCCCTAACACGACTAATTGCAAGAAGTATATACGTATGTAGCAAGTCATTTGCTAATATATCGCCTAAACAAAACCATGAGCCTCTTAAAGCAGAAAAGTAGCCGAGGAGATCGTCTAAATCAATTAGAATGACAAGAAATGGGAGATAAGAAATTCCAAATCGTGCAGAAGGGTTGGAACATTATTCTCTCCTTGAAAGAAAGTTTGAGCCCTTGCTGTTTCTAGTACCAAAAGCGGAAGAAAGGAAAAGTGTCGTCACATTCGGAATGGAGTGATGGCCCATCTGATAAAAATAGAAGCTCATTCCGCAAAATGACAAACCTCACTCTGAATCCTAATTTCGGAGGGAATGGGAATATGCTCTCCAGTTCCAGCAACCAACCAGTATGTAACAGTGCCAAAGAGAAGCCAAGCCAAAGAGCAAGAGGAATAACATAACACTGGTTGAGCTTAGTTCAAGTGAAAGGAATGAACAAAACCTTTCTTCTCCCTGTGAACCCCCGCTATTGGTGAGATAAGAGGAGGAGTGGTGGTGTAATATACTGTCATCGGTAATATGACATTTATTTATCCGTCGAGTGGAAGAAAACTGCTGCATGAAATTGAACAAAATCGTGGAATCTTGTCCAATTTTGGGATAGCGTTATAAGAGGAACAGAAGTACCTCGAGGAGGATTTCCCGTTACATCTCTTTCTCTGGTGTGTGTGTGTATGCCTGTTAGTTTACAAGTCAGGTGAGGGATGAGGAGCAGAGGACAGGAGAGAGTTGACTTTACGAGTCGTCGTCTTCTCCATTTACCCAACTTTCTCCCACCGTCCATCCAATCTTGCAGGGCCTGCTTGCTGAACTGCTGAGGAGAGGAAGTGAAGTGTAACCAAACTAAACTAAACCACCCACGCAATCCCCATTTTCCAGGTCAATATCTCCGCATTGCCGAAGTCTAAAGAACATGCAGCATCAATGGGCTCTCCTCTCATCTCACACCTTCCTTCCTTCCTTCCTACACTCTCAGGAACATTCTTCTCTTGCGTGAGTGCTAATATACTCACAGAAGCATCATCGTCATCTTTACATTCCATGAAATCCTATCTACCTTCGAATGTCGTCAATGTCGAGGAGATGCCTTTCGTAGAATTTTCTACCGTATTGAGAACGCATCAAATGTATGGAAATCCTTATAATGAGGGGTTATTAATACATCTTAGGATCATCAAAATGCTATCAAACCAATCATGCTTTTGAGAGATGTCAAATGTACAAATAAACGTCAGATGCTTCACATTTTACAAACCATATTTTAGCTCAAATACCTTAAGGGATGAAGGATATTCAATGGCCAGAGCTTGTGACGGCAACAAATTTCTATTCTTTAGCCAGAGGCAGTGAGCAATATCTTTTGCAAATGGACGTTTGGCTGGATCAACATCTAACATTTTGCGGACAATACTTTTCGCAGACTCCGAAACGTTTGTCCAGTTTCCCGAGGTGACATCTATTTCTCCAGTCCCGATCCGGGAAAGTATCATGGCTGGGGGATCATTTGCACCTGTTGCAAACGGCGTCTTCCTGAAACATGATTTTGTATTCACATATGTAGTACATGCTCACAGTAAGAAATTGTATACGCATAATTTATGCCATACATACCCTGACAACATGGTGTAAAGGATGACACCGAGGGACCAAATATCACACGCAGCATCATATCCTTGTTTCCGGAGTACTTCAGGAGCCACAAAATTCGCAGTGTAACACGGAGTCATCAAAAGACCTTAAAGTGAAAATAGAAAGAAGGGAATGAATACTGAAAAGGGAAACAAGTAAATTTGTTCAACTTTGCAATTTAATGGTTACCATTTTCTGCTCGCAACTGCTTCGCAAAACCAAAATCACAGACACGTATTCCTTCCGGAGTTTGGGCAACATCTGCATACACTATATTTGCTGGTTGCAGGTCCCTGTGAACAACCTGTAGCACAAATATACATAGTATGCACTTGGTACTAATAATAGAGAAGTCTAATTTGGTAACAATTGTGAAAATTTGAATTAATTACGCCATGTCTATGAAGATATGCCACAGTATCCACCAACACAGCCATTATATCTGCAGCCTCGCGTTCTGATAGTCTTTTCTGTGTTAGTATTTTGTCGAGCAGTTCACCCCCTCGCAATAATTCAGTGATTAGATATACGTTATTTGAATCTTCATATACCTGAAAATGATGAAAGAGAATCGTTAATTTAGGATCCAACACAATTATACCTGATTGTATTATTGCTCACATTGTATAAAGTGACAATATGCAGATGCTGACTGTGACGAAGGAGGATATCGACTTCATCATGCCACTCGTGCGTCCCCTTTGTAATAATCTGTGAAACAAAAGAGAAGAAGAATAAACACAATATCAGACAGACAATTAATAAAATAAACTCTAGAGACAGATAAAAGAAACTTGCGATACTGCTATTCTACGAACGTTCAACTAATATATCGAAACCCAATTCAAATTATAAAATTTTTAAATAACATTTAAATTCAAAATTTGACATTTGACCCCTTCATTATTACGGAGAGATCAAACATGATGGAGATTTCTATTCAAACTGCGGTTGCTTGTGACCGTTGACCTGCACGATCCAACTCGAGCTTATTTTTTAAATCTTATGTCAATACCTTAAAATGGAACTGAAAATGTTTGCTTTGTTCGCTTCGGGAGTTATCTCGTCTACGGAAGGACGGACAGACAGAAGGTTCGTTAAAAGCAGCCATCGCTACTTTATAATTAATGATGCCGTAGGACTTGTTAATCAAGCTACCATTCATTAGACAAGCTGTCCTTTGTAGTTTTAATATACGTAGTAGATAAAATTTGCAAGCATGTGCAAATGCTAGAAAGGAAAAATCTGCCAATTCCATAATCAAGTTAATCTAAAAATGTAGACAAACCTTTACTGCTTGCTCAACCCTGGAGATTTTGTGAACACAACGACGGCACGTTGCATAAGCACCTTTGGCAATTTCGTCTTTCATTTCATATTCGTCTAGTATATTGCTCGTTCGTATAGCCTGCAACAAAATACATAAAAATTAAACAATCCCTGAATCTAATATATAACATACTGTATAAATTTATGGTCAATGAGTTATGAACGGAAAAACAAAATTTTTTCATTATACGAAAGAAATACATAGAAATAAAAGAATCATGAACTATAATCATTCATTTTCTAGCTAGGAGATTCGTGTTACTCGTGAATGCAGAAGATTGTCATCTTTGTTCGTTCGAGGTGGAAAACCTGCCGAGGCAGCAATAGTTCAAAGTTTAATAATGCCAGAAAGACTGAAAAAATGTATCTTTACAACATCCGGTCTACAAGGAAAGCTTGGATGTGCTGCTTTCATCTTTCTCTTTCAGTTTGGTATAAAATATTCCCTTTGTTCCATATGTCAAAAATAGACATATCCATCCACCCACTGCAACCGACTGGAGTGAATGAATATTCAGACATGCATGGGATATCAGAAACCAGAATATTTCATTCCAGGATTACAAAACAAAAGTAGTTTTTCTCGCAACAAATATATACAAAGATCGACAAAACCATGCAACCGTAAAATTACAAAAATTGCAATTTATTTCTTACGGATCTGAATATATCCGGTTTGGGTTTGTTGTCTGAAACAATACTTGCACCACCACCCACGATGACCGAGTTTGAAATAGAATTGTGAACAGGCGAAGAATTCATATTGTCGTCTAGCAGGCACGAAGCGATGAAACTGAAACCTCTGAATAATTCGTGGGCGTTTGCACTGGCGGGCACTCCTGGTGAATCTATCAAATTTAATTTGACCCGTTTAATCAACCCTTTTATGTTTGGTAAATTAAGTACAAATAAAATTATTCGGTTCCTGCTCTCCGATCGATCGCATACATACATACATCTCTGTGTCACTCTCTTGCACTTTATAGTTTAAATACCTTTAGGTGTCCTAGACGTAAATTCAGTGTCGAAATAGAAAGCATCATCTGCTCTAGAAATTCCAGGCTTGAATGGTGGGACTACTTCTTTCAAGTATAACTTTTCCCAGTCAATTCCCTCAAAGAAGCAGTGCGACTTAATTTCTTGTACGCCTCCTGTAAAACAAAGAGAGAGACAGAGGAAAGTGAGAAAAAGTGGGTTTCGTTTCAATCATTTCTTTTTCCTCTTCTTTGAATCATTTATGTACAGTCTGCATACTACAAAATTAAGCTCAAGGATTTTTGTTCTAACCGGCTCCAAGTCTGTTGGTCGGATTCCTTTTGAAGAGGGCACGAAGTAAGGATTGTGCTTCAGGGGACAAGAATTGTGGCATTCCCAACTTTGCCTTAAGAATTTGTACCATTGTTTCTTTGCGGTCTGTTCCTGTTGTGTGATGACAAGAAAGCATTCGTTCATTCATGCATTTCTTTCCTTACCCATTCTAATATAAACGTAATTTTACCTTGGAATGGGAGACAACCAGTCAGCATTTCGTACTAAAGTGAAAAAACAACACAATACAAAATTAGAAAGTGAAAGCAATATGCAATCCAACCTCGTATGCCATAACATGACAGTCGTGACCCAAGAAAATATAAATAATGATCTAATTTCCGCTTGTACGTGTCAGGAAGCGGTCTCTCACGTGCAATATTAATGCGGATCACAGGGGTCCACACGTACAGTGATTGATCTCGCTTAAATAACACGAACACCTACACATTAACTAGACTTTTTATGGCAGTGAATAATGGGGCTTAGGAATGCAGCAAAGTCACACTTTGCTCGCACTCACTTTCTTCTTTCTTTCTCTTACATTTCCAGGCTAGGAATAGGAATGATTCGCTGATTCGCTACTAACTCACGTCTTCCCAACTACTAACTTTTAGATTAGATTTCGTGCTGTACATATAGTCGTGTAAATTCATTAGATGCAAGAATAAAATAGTTTCACGTAGTGTAGTACTCGCTGCCAAGCAAAAAACAAAACCATCCAACGTTCACCATGTACGACGATTAATTATAAATTATAGGTTTATCAAGTACTAAAATTCTGTAATTCGAATAAAAATTTTTACCATCAGGACTCCAAAACTCCACCAGTCTGCAGAATAAGTATGTCCCTTCCTGTTCACCACGCAGGGCGCCATGTACTCCACCGTACCACAGAATGAATACGCGTTCTCGTCCTCCAATGGTTGTTTGCTAAGTCCAAAATCGGTCAACGAAATATGTCCTTCTGAATCTAAGAGGATATTTTCCGGCTTGAGGTCTCGGTAAATGATCCCAATAGAGTGTAGGTGATCAAGGGCAAGAGCCAATTCTGCCAAATAGAATTTGACATCCTCCTCCGTGAACATTATCTCTTTCGCGAGTCGATTAAACAGGTCACCTCCCCGAAGAAAGTCGAGAATGAGATAGAGCTTCGCTTCGCTTTGAAATGCATAGTGTAACTTAACTATAAAGGGATGTTGTACTTCGGTCAGAATATTTCGTTCCATCTTGGTCCTGTAAACATAATTTAAATTAATTTTAGGGCATGTACATTTATTATGTTGTGTGTAATTTATTTGCAATTATTATTAATTACTTACCTAACTCGATCACGAACTTTTAATGTCGCCTTCCTCAACACTTTCATAGCATACATTGTCCCAGCATCACTGCCGACGACTTTCCTCACAAGAAACACCTTCCCAAAGGAACCTTGCCCAAGAACTTTTAAAAGTTCAAACTGTGAAGGATCCGCTTTTTCATGGCCTTCACAAGTGACGTCATTGACCTCGATTTCTGCCTCCACTCCACTCATTGGTCCTTCACCATTCAAGTCGTCCGTCGGTGTTTCTGTAGGGCTGACCCCTTTTGACCCGTTGTTGTTCGCGTTATTTCTCTGACTCTGGCTCGAGTGAGGCGAGGGGTCTACTTGTTCGTCTACCAATATTTCCATTTCCATTCCCATTTCATCATCTGGGGGTCGTTTAGTATCCCCCCAAGGGACTCCTAATTGGTTTGCTAAAGGCATTTTGCTCTTAATGTCTGGCTTAATTTTCCGATTTGATGGCGGTTTATTTTATAGTAAATCAGTCTATCTTATCCGTAACCAAAAACCAAATCCGCAAATGCAATGATGTGAGATCTGTAAAACGGTATAGATATGTTAAGTAATGACATAAATATTTTATCGCATAAATAAATTATGTACACCTACAACACACCTTGATTCTTCGAGTTTGGAGTTTCCTTGCACAAATTTCTACGAATTGATCGTGAAATTTAGATTTTAAATTTCGTTTGTTCTTTTATTACGAAACTGGCTGGTTGCGGAAGCCGTTTCCGTTCCCTTTCTACCCACAAACTAGACCAAGACCAAGAGAACAAGCAGAAAATCTCTTGTCTTGGAGTGAACCATATATTTCTCCAGGAACAAAAGTTGCGCAACTGTGGTTGGTTTTTAGCACAAGGATTTCGCTAGGAAGTTGCGGATTAAGGAATGCTAAGGTATGCGAACCTTATCAGCAGTATGGCTTATCAGAAGTGGATGATATGATTGAGCGAAAAAAAGATAATTAGCAATTTATTTTCAAATCAATCAAGCTTCTTTGTTTATTGTTTTTGCCGTTTTTCTGGCGATTATTAAAACTTGTTGCATAAACGGGGTTTCGAGAGACGGCAGCAAAACGGATGATGTACTACCTACCGCCTAACGCCTAGCTTCCTACCGCCTAGCGCCTACCAGGTACTTCATACCGCCTAAACGCTTACCGCCTACTTCCTAACGCCTAAACACCTACCGCCTACTTCCTAACGCCTAAAATGTTTACCGCCTAAATTTTTTTTTACATTTTTCGACGTTTCACACTATTCTATTAGTGGGGTACTTTGAGATTTTTGTAAATTTAATATCATGGAAATCATAATTTCTTCTTATAACAGTGGGGCACTATGAGATTATTGCGGTAAAGTGTCATCGATTGTCACAATTATGCCCCACATTGGGGTATTGTTCGTTTTTAAGCGAGCGAAGCGAGCAGGTTAGGTTAGTTATACTAGGTACGCGGAAAGCGTGAAATATTCAGCAAGGAGATCTACCTAGAAGTCCTAGCTAGGGGAGCTAGCTAGTAGTCCTAGTTAGAGATAGTAGAAATCTCATTTTTCCTCAAAAATTTTCCAGCCTGGGGGAAAGTGAGACAAAGTCTAACACTGTGTCCTACTTTCTCTCCTAGCTAGGACTTCTAGGTAGATCTCCTTGCTGAATATTTCACGCTTTCCCCGTACCTAGTATAACTAACCTAACCTGCTCGCTTCGCTCGCTTAAAAACGAACAATACCCCAATGTGGGGCATAATTGTGACAATCGATGACACTTTACCGCAATAATCTCATAGTGCCCCACTGTTATAAGAAGAAATTATGATTTCCATGATATTAAATTTACAAAAATCTCAAAGTACCCCACTAATAGAATAGTGTGAAACGTCGAAAAATGTAAAAAAAAATTTAGGCGGTAAACATTTTAGGCGTTAGGAAGTAGGCGGTAGGTGTTTAGGCGTTAGGAAGTAGGCGCTAGATATTTTAGGCGTTAGGAAGTAGGCGCTAGATATTTTAGGCGTTAGGAAGTAGGCGCTAGATATTTTAGGCGTTAGGAAGTAGGCGGTAGGTGTTTAGGCGTTAGGAAGTAGGCGCTAGATATTTTAGGCGTTAGGAAGTAGGCGCTAGATATTTTAGGCGTTAGGAAGTAGGCGCTAGATATTTTAGGCGTTAGGAAGTAGGCGCTAGATATTTTAGGCGTTAGGAAGTAGGCGCTAGATATTTTAGGCGTTAGGAAGTAGGCGGTAGGAAGTACCTGGTAGGCGCTAGGCGGTAGGAAGCTAGGCGTTAGGCGGTAAGTAGTACATCATGCAAAACGGAGGTTTGCATGATGGAGGAGGACAAATGAGAAAGACAGCTCAAAGTGCAAAGTTTTTTGCAAAACTGGATTATTTTGGAATTTCCTGGAAATTTCAAAAGTCGTGAACGAGTCGAATTTTTGGAAGGCAGAGTGGAACACATAGTTTGAGAGCGATAAGGTAAGGGTTTCATTTTCTAGTTGTTTGCTTTGAAAGTGCAAATAGCAAGTCGCAGTTGGTGTACCGACAAGATGACTTTGCAATTTGCAATTTGCATTAATTCATCATGTCATGTATCGTGGTATTTCGGCAATTAACAATGCATCGTAGTTTGGCTGGACTGGTTTTATTGTTTCTCACCCGATAGTCGAATAATATTAATAACAAGTTCTCCCTTTGTTGACTAGATTTGGAAATAAAGATGTTTGGTTTTGGCGAATTACATTTCGAGTCGTCTCGAGCTTTCGCAGATGACGAGGAGGAAAATTTATCAGAAACTTTGTTTGGGTGCGATTTATAGGCTTAGATTTCTTTAAAATATAGGTTTCTTAATAAATTGGGAACTAATTACTGTCTGCAATGTAGGCTATCAGTAGAATGGACAGAAGAAGGTCAACAATTTGTGCAAGGGGTCTCTCATCAACCGTACGTATTTTGCGCCTTTGAAGGAAAGGTGGCTTTAGGTAATATTAGTTAGCTGTTTCATTTCATTATTATGGAGATTTTGTCCTAATATCCGGCATTATTTGATTAGGGTTTGGCGAAGGATTCTTACTTCAGAAGGAAAAGTTCTCACCGTTGGGACAAATATTTACGACCGGAAATGAAGGAACGGTGGATTTATGTTCCTTGCGTCCACGTAGAAAACCCACGGCACGATTATTTGCGGAAAAAGGAGGGTCCGTAATTTTTGCATTGATTGACTTTTATGGGGTTCCACGCTTCTTAGCGAATGACCTTGTGCAAAAGGTTTGGCAAATTAAAATACTTAAATCAACTAAATTATATGGAAAATTTCAATTTTGATAGTTATGTTGTGGTTTTCTCAATCGTAGCTGTTACCATTAATAAGATCGGCTTCCGAAGTAGTAATTTTCCACTCTGATATCTCTGCATACTATCGAAATGAAGATTGTTGCACTGGAAAATTGTTTTATCTGACATCATCTTCATTTCCGGATAAGAGTTTTGGACATGTTGTGAAAGCAGAGAAGCTTCGACCACCAAATATTGTTTCTGGACCCAGTGCTGGAAGTACGTCTTTAATATTTGTCATTACAGATATGCATAATCATTAACATTCTTATGATCTAAAATTTTACAATTATTCTCCCAAGTTCTGACGAAATGTGAGCAAATTCGAAAACCTGGCTTGTTATTGGTCACATATGCAGATACCGAATTAGTGGACTCTATTTCTCTCGGACCATTTTTCCAAGCAATAAATCCGAATGATGGAAGTGGGGACAAGACGGGATTCAATTTGAGCAAATTATTCTCACAGTTCCAACACAATATTCGCCAAGTTGCAGATATCAGTAATGTATATGCTTGACACTCAAAAGAAGTGTAAATTATCGGTCTCTTCCAATTTGGAGCAATTCCTTGAGGTGTTAAATTTAAGGTTCAGTTTATTATTTGTCCATTTAGCTACAATAAATGTATACATACTTTTCGCAGATTCTATTGACCTTTAATAACTATATGCTATCTTATTGGCACACTAGAACTAAATCACTATTCATCATCTCAAATTTTAATAAATCTTCTCATTTCACGTGAGGAAGGTTGCCCAATATACACAATTTAATGCAAGGAACGAGAAGGGGAAGAAATATCTTGAAATTTTATCTGAAATTGTAATACATCAACATGAGGTTAATTCCTAGAAATTTTGTACCAAAGGGACCAACCTATCGCTAGTGCAATTTGTCGATTGCTGCAGAATTTGGTGTAATTTGCTGTAGTTGTAGACATCCTTCCATGAATTTTGCAATATTGACAGGGAGAAGTCTTCAAGGGCTAAGTTTCAAAATCACAATAAGCTCTAATTAATTTGAATTCAATTCCATACACAATTTTTCTCTTGTACGTAATAACTAACCCGTGACTGCGAGTCTATAATGCTCTGAAAATCCACAATATCATCGTATCCTTTGTCAATGGGGTGCCCAGGTCCCAAAAAATGGTTCACCATTGCAAATTCCATTAAAGACATGAAAACGAAAACTGTACACGACGACATCCAGACGTCTATTTTTGGATAATTTTGAGTTATGATAACATAAATTGAGTACAATGTCAGGAAAGCATAATTAAAAAAGAAGTATGTAACGTACCGATTGCTTTCACTATAAAATACCAAACATTAAATTATTATAGTTTATGGTTATTATACAAAAAAACCTACAGTGCAGACTCCATATAGCCCGAGTCAGGGACAGAGTCCCTGACTCCGTGAGTCCTAGCTGTTTCTAAATTTTTCTCCGAATTGACCGACATAATATTACCACTTTGAACTTCCACAGCTATATTTGCTATCAAGAAGTGGTCTTTAGCCTTCGTACCAAATTTCAGATGGAAAAAATTAAACTTAAAAAATGGTATGGGTTACCCTCCAGGGTCACTCTGGTTAAAATTCGCTCACTTTTAACTTCATATCCTTTCATGAGAAGCCATTAGGTATGACCTTGCCGGATTTAATGTTTTTAAAGTAATTTCTAAAAATCGGTATGGGTCACCCCATAGGGTCGCTCCTGATAAGAATTTTACCAATTCCACGTCATATTCTTCTATTAAGACCCATTAGCAACCTCTCTACCAAATTTCAGCTTGTTATGACGATTTTGAAAAATCAGTATGGGTCATCCCATAGGGTCCCTCAAGATGAAAATTTTTCCAACTTAAAGTCATTTTTATATATTAGGAGCCATTAGCAACCTCTGTACCAAATTTCAGCCTTCTACGACAATTTTGAAATTTGGTGCATAATACCCCACCCACTCCGATGACCCCCACCGGTCAACCACTTGACCGATTTCGCCCATCTTCGAACTCGTTTCCTAACTTTGTCCAATATGCATATGGTAAAAATTTCAAGTCAATCGGTTCAGCCGTTTTGGCTCTATCGTGCCGGACAGACGGACGGACGGACGGACGGACATGACGGTTCCATAAGCCCTGACTCGGGCTAATTAGTATTTTACCATAAGAAACGGGTGGTAAAGACGATTGGGACTGTGTGTTCTGGGTAGCTAAACAGATTTTGAAATAAATTATTTAGTTTAGTTGTACAAAACAATTTACAAAATCACTCAATTAATGCAAACCGAGAGTTAAGAGTGAGGTAACTCCGAGGGTGACGCGAGCAGGAATCGCTTCGGGTTTAATCCAAAAAGAAATCCAAGACATGACCACAATCAAAGCGGAAGGGATGTAGGTGTGAAATAAATGGTATCCGAGACGCCTCTTCAACTCGAAAACGACAGCAAGACAAGTAAAATTCCCTGTAATTATTTTCTTAACGGATTAATTATTTAGTCATTAATTAATTAGGAATAAATAATATTTAAAACCATACCTGTAGAATACTCTAAAGTACAATCCTCCGTACCGTTTCTTGAAATATCCAATTGCGGAAGCTCAATCGCATCGTTGACCACTAAAGGATCTGTCGCATTCCATCGAAATATGAGATCTTCAGTTGTATGTGACACTGCAAATAATATTATTTGACATTATTTCTTGGTTGGCAATCGAAAATTTTTGCTAATCAACTTACAACTTTCAATCATCATCGAACAAACTTGCGTGTCATGGGGGAAGGTTTCAAATTTCATGGCACACGATAACACCAGCGTCAGTCTAGGAACATGTTTAGCATTGTAGTTTATGATAGTTTTTTTTAATCAGAGATACTCCATTTTGGCAATTACTTTGACATGTAAAGAAGAGTTTTGTCATTATATAGCCACAAGTAATGATTTGGGACGGACATTTCATGAAAAGTGACAGACTTTGCGTTTTTGAAGAAGCAGTCAGGTCGCCAAATTGCCTGATGGATAAAAGCTTCAAATTAGGATAACGTAATTGTAATTTTAAAGTGTTTAATTAAATATCCGTTACATTAAGCCATTTGACATCAAGGATTCTATAGTGGTCATCCATTTTCTCTGTGCCCAAACGAAGGCGTTGGTCTCTCCACGATTGGGCCAAAAATATGTCGGCGACATACGTCTACAAAATTATTAAATGAGAAAAAATCGTCTAAAATCGCAATGTCAGTGTTTTTAGACCCTTTACCATGCTTTCTTCATTTATGGAATCAATGCTTAAAACGGTCACGTGAAAGAAAACTATTGTGGGCTCATTGTTAGATTTTTTTGGTGGCCGATTCTTATCGTAACTTTTGTGATCCTCTGGCAAAATGTCGTGAAGTGAGAGACTTCCTCCTCCAGATCTGGGTTCGGGCGTTGGAGGTCTATGTACATACGCGTATGTGGAAGAAGGATTATTCCTAATTTTATTAACCTCTAGATTTATAACTTACGCATTATAATACGAGTAATGATATTGATTCTGATAATATGGTGGAGGAGGTTGCTGTAAAGGTGACGACGACGCGGATGTAAAAGTTTCCGTGTATTCTGGTGCAGACAAGACTCCGACCCCGAATACTGCCACAATGAGCTCGAGATATAAAAGTGTCACCACAAGGGTCACAAGTGGGAGTAAAAGTAGCTTGATTTTAGAAAGTTGTGAAAGAATTGGCTTAAAAATATCCAGTAATGAGACTTTCACGCTGGAGAAAGTCCTATTATTTATAATTTCTGCAACGTCCGTCTCAATTTCCATGATAGACGAGAAAATTCTCAACTTTTCTGCGTCTTTGATTGTAGTTTTATTCTATTTTGCATTCACTGGGGAAAGAAATGTAGACTGGATTGATGGCTGGCTGGCTGGTGAAAGCATATTTAGTCGTTGCAAGTCGAGTTTTTGGGGACGGATGATTTGACTACGTGTTTCACTTTGATCAATTTCCGTCAAACAACTGACAGGAACTGGAATTGTCAACTAGTGTGGTTTCTCGAGTTTCTCGAGTAGAGAATCAATGGTTTTGAAAGGTTTCATCCACAATCTAGTGAGGCGATGTTTTGCATAAAGAAACGAATTACTAATCGTTTCTTGTATTACGTAGGTTGGCTTGTTTTAGCATCATGAAGCATGCATATTTGCAATGCCAGTGAATTATACGTGAAATGACGTCGGCCAAAATAATTATTGTTTTGCAAAAAATTATTGAACTTTCTCCGTCATCTGAAAATTTGTATATTCAATATGCACTTTCTATGTAGGTGAAATTTTGCGAGCCTTATCATGGCTGCTGCTGCTCCTACCTTTTCTGTCCCACTTCCGGACGGCATCCCAACCGTTGCTCCAGCCCCTGTCGTAGGACCGAGCCCTTGGCTGGGGGTTGTTTCGAACTTTAAAACTGGTGAAGATCATGGACAAAGTCTGAAGTTTTCACCATTTGATGGAAATCGTCTCGCATGCTCGACAGGAGGAGATTATGGTCTCACAGGTAAGTTGAGTAAATTAAATTGAGTCAATTATTTACATAATACATAGATGAGTAGTGGTGCTTCAATAATATCGATTACATGTTATTATTATGATGCAGGTCCTGGTCGTGTCTATATTCTCGACAGAGACATGAATAGTGGAGAATGGAAGCAGCAGCTCGTAGCAGATTACAGAGACAATTTACTGGATATTTGTTGGTGTGAGTCGGATCCGAATGTATTGACAACAGCGGCAGGGGATGGATTTGTACAAGTTTGGAATTTGTCTTCGAAATTTCCAAAGGTTGGCAATATCATTATGCACGTATTCGAAGATGCTAACTTGTCCGATTTGAGTAAGTTAAGGTTCCGGTCCATGAGTTCAAAGGACACAAAGTAGAAATGTCTTCGGTGGAATGGTCACCTTCGAAATTTGGAAATATTTTGTTAGCCGCATGTTGGGATGGTCAAGTTTGTTGTGTAAGAAGAATATGACTATTTATTTTTTAATATGACCCATAAAACAAGATAACATGGATTTAAATGTACATCTGCAGTACGATATGACTGGTCCTTGGCCTCTGTTGAAAATGGTAGCCTCTGAAGTGATAGTCTACCAAGCAGCGTGGTCTCCCCATACGCAATACACTTTCGCCTGCGTTTCTCAAGAAGGTGTACTCCAAGTATGGGACATGCAAGCAAACAATGCAAAAGCACAAATTTTTCTCCCCGTTTCTGACTCTGAACTCCTTGCCATCGACTGGGCGAAATATGCTGATAATGTGTTGGCGACGGCCGGATCGGATTGCATTGTGAAAGGATGGGATTTAAGAAATTATTCGCAACCACTGTTCACCATAATGGATCATGGACATGCCGTGAGACGCGTGAAATTTTCTCCATACCATCCAACCGTGTTTGCTTCTGTCAGTTACGACATGAGTTTAAGGTGATTGAGAAAAGTTCTCGTACTTTTTTAAGGGTTATTATATTATTGTTATATTTGTTTTTTTTAGGATATTTGATTACCACATTTCGGACGAAAATCTTGAAATAATCGCGGATCACACTGAATTCGTTTATGGCGTGGATTGGAACTTACACTACAGAAATGAAATTGCTACTTGTGCCTTTGATAACACAGTCAAAATTCGGACCCCAAAGTGTCTCGTTGGTACATAATAATATAAGGCAGAACGTGAATGTGCACAAGTTTCCAAAAATCCAGATTGAAAATTTTATTAATTAAATTGTATTCAATTTACGGCAATGTACTACTACTATAAATTAAATTGCTCATTGTAGTTTCTTGTGCGATTTCCAATTCCTTGTATCTTTCTGTATTTTCTTATCCAGGAGGCCATCCTAGTTGACTATAATATTTAATTTATGCAAATAGTTAACTTTTACTGTGGCAATCGTGGTTTATGCTGATGTTAAAAAATAAGCTCAAGTTACGTACCGGCCTCCAAGAACGTGAATATGGAGATGATAGACAGATTGACACCTAAATATATGCATATGCATTTAAAGAATTACAAATGTACCCAATAATTGGAATATTAAACTTTGATTTATAATAGATACCCGTCCTGCCCGTTGTTGATCACTAAATATACAAAGTCTCAATGAAACATTTATTGTGTACACCCACTCATGGCGTTAGAGACTTACCGACACGATATCCTTTACTAAGCCCCAACTTTTCGGCAGTTTGCTTCGCCACAAACATCATATGTCCCAAAAGCTGCAAACCATTTGCATTTTTTGATAACTTTGTCCCATTTGCATTGTATTTACATCACAAAAATTAATCTCACCTCAGAATCCTGTTCTTGTGCCGAACTCAACATGGCAATTCGTTTCTTTGGGATGACCAAAAAGTGGGTCGGTGCCTGTGGGTTGACATCGTTGAACGCAAGCACTTTGTCATCTTCGAAAATTATGTCAGCCGGAATCTTCTTATCCACAATTTTGGAAAATATAGTTTCCTCCTTGTATTCGCCTCCCACTGCGGCTTGTGCTTTCTCCACCTCGGACGCCATACCCTAATTTAAATAATAAACAAACAATACTTAACTTCCACTAAGTAATCATTGTTGACAAAAGACTCTGTAAATAAATGCGATTAAAGATATATAAGTCCCATTTAGTAATCTTATCTTTAATTTTAATTTATCCTATAAAATCAATGCATCTTTGTTACCCTCTTTGATAAGGTTACAAGTATACTGCCTCCAAATCCCTTGCTTTCACTAACAACGGGTGATCTGAAAACAGGAGTATGAGTACAGGGCGAATAACTTGCAAAACTTCTGCATATATTTCTGCCAACTATCTTTCGCAGAAGAATTGCAGACATTTGATTGAATTCGACACGTCCTTGATGAGCAAAATAATGAAACCGGTTTTTCTGTGTTGTCAGAATATTTCCTGGAGTGAAAAGTGAGACAAAATTCCGTAAAATCGTATATCTATTCACTATTCGTATACATGGAAAGTGGAAGGTCCTATGAAATGAAATTAATTAATTGCCCTTATTTAATTACGTGATGATAAGATGTTTACCTAATAATAATTGCATAAAACCGTAAATGTGGTGTTCATCTCTTGTCAATCTTGCTCATGGAATATGAATGACATTGAAGGAGGTCAAATGAAACAGGTTTTGCGGGAGGGATTTTATTCTTGCTTGCCATTCTTCAAGGTCGCTTTACATACTTCACTTTTAAAGAAATTATTAATTTTTCTTGAAAACAAAATGCCACACTTGAAAATTGAAACCAATGTTCCCCGAGAAAAGATCCCTGCCGATCTGGTCAAGACTTTATGCCAAGTGGTTGCCACTACGTTGGGAAAGCCTCTCAATGTAAGTACGAGTGTAATAATTTGTAATTAATATAACATTAAGCATATTTCTGAATTATTTGTGCATATATGTAGTACGTCTGCGTGACAATTGTCCCAGACTTGTTGCAGTCTATTTCATCTTCATGTTACGTACACAAAAAATCTCAACATAATTCAATTTGTCACATATTTCCCCAACATTGGTTCAAACCCCCAGAATAACTTGACAAATTCACAAATCTCGCCCCACGAATTATGATCAATTAAACTAATAAAAACACACTTATTGGTAGAATAGCCTACATCAGAATTAGGACGAATAGGATTACGCAATCCCAACAAATAAGCAACATATCCAGCTATTATCATCTTAGCTTCGATTGTTTTGGTCTTGATGGTCTTCTTATCATCATCCTCACATTTGGCGACAAGGTAGGGGGTCAAAGTAGGAGCCTTAAGTGGGGGTGGGTAGATACTAAACTCCTCTACTCTACCTAACTCTCCATCTCTCTGTTTAAGTCCATCTATCTCTAACGCTCTATCTTTCTGCCTCTTCTCTGTGATGCGTTTGTACTGCCTAGCACCATCTGTCCCCCCTGTTAAGTCTAAGCGACTCTTGAAATCGGGGGTGTTGCTCCAGCCAAAGTACCACATGTCTCTACTCATGATGGTGTACAAAAAGGTCTTCCCTTTCTCCGGTTTTTGTTGTTCTGCTGCTGCTGTTCCAAGAAGATACTCTCCCGGAAATGGGTACTTGACCTTATTCCTCTCCGTCAGTGTTAAGTGGCGCCGAACTTTGAGCTCCATCCCCAACTCCTTGAGTCGCGCATCGATCTCATTCTCCATTCCGTAACACAAGGGGATTTGATGATGGGTTTAGATCCGGAGGCGAGTTTCATAAACATGCCAATGGTCTAGAAATGCATAATAATAATGATGAAATCACAATTCATTACTCAAGATATTAGTTTCGAGACAATTTCACTGACTGATTCAAATGACAGCATCCGTAGAGCCTCGCCTTCGTTGTTAAAATGCTGTCTAGAAATAGATTTGGCGATTGGTCGAGTTTTTAGATCCTCCGTGGCACAATACTTTGTCCATCCCCTGTAACTGCCACTTAATTGATTAAGACTCAATTCAGTCTCTTCATCTTTCTTCTCATCGGATGCATTCGATGTTACAGAGCTTGCGAACTTCATGTGAATAAACACCAACACGTCCCTCCGATTGTAATCAGTTACTTTCATCACGGTATAGATGAGACTTGACTGATGTTTGATACACTTGGGGAGGACATCACTTGAGAGAGTTTGGTTGTATTGGTAACACTCTGATTAATGAGAAGGACACCTTATTTAAATACGTATCACAGATAGAACACATATCCACCTTAACTATGCTTACTTGGTTTTGTACAAAGCCTTGAAGCTGAATAGAGCAGTACTCCTCTAGTTTTGTGAGCTGACTCCAAACATAAATGAATTAACCCGGTGGTGGGGGCCTTATAAATAATTAAAAACCATCCCGGTTTGTCTTCAACGTCAACACGACCTCCTCTGCGGAAGATCTCCTGAAAGAGAGCCTCCCTCTGTCCAGCGGTCAATCCCTCATCCTCCTGGGTCAAAACAACTTGTGGGGACGCTTCAAAAACATAGAGGTCAGGCGAAGTGGTTTCATTCAGAGCTAGCCCAACTAACCGCATAATCGTCTTCCTGATTTTATCCACCCCTTCACCTACATAGCATGATAATCCTATTAAATAGTGTGCGCTGATATAATTATCATGCAAGTGGTAATTATTATGTTACCTTTGACCGTTGTGCCAAGTTTCGTATCCGACAAAGTCATGTATTTCACTTGGAACTCTTCAGCCAAATCCTTATCTCTATAAATAATCCCTCTCCCATCCCTGGGTCTCATCTCTTCATCCACTTCCATCTCCTCCTCATCAAGAATGTATGACCACGGGACGGATTGAAAAGTTTGGTCATCACGAGCAATACTTGCAGGGGTGACTGACTTTCTTCTCTCCTTATCCTTCGTACCACGGGGATTTAATTCCCCTTCTGCACAGTTGTCGGCTCTCGTAGTCTCCACGGCCAAATGTTTGGTAGAATCAGGGGAGAGTTTGGTAGCCGTCTTTCCGGTGTAACTAAAGACAAAAAATAAAAATATTGAGTAAATATTAAGCAACAAGTAGTGGGGGGAGGAGGAGGAGGAACCTAAAAACTAACGGTTTAGATTTAGCAGCAGGCGTAGATGGACCGGCTTTCACTAATTTCGCCTTTTTCTCAACCACCTTCGGCGTCGTCCTCTGCGTTAGGACGAAATCGTCGTCGTCCGAAAATGACTCGTCCCCCTCCATTGTTATATAAAGAAAACTAAAGCAAAAACTGTAGCACACAAAATTAAGTTGTTGTTGCTGCTGCTGTATGACATATAGTAAAAAAAGAGGATTACATACTATTATTATTTTTATATGTTGCAATTTCCACCGCGGGTGACTCGGGTAAATGTGAGTATTTCACCATGATTAATGTAAGATTATTTGTTCTCCCTTTCGTATCTTGGGGAGGAGGTGACGAACCAAGCGCTCAGGTCACGCTCATGTCCATCGGTCAACTTGGCCAGAAGGAGAACATTAAGCACGCCAAGGTTGTTTTCGAAGCTGTTTCGAAGGGATTGGGCGTGGACCCTGGCAAGATGTATGTTCACTTCCAGGATGCCAAATCGCAAGATGTGGGATACAATGGGACCACTTTCTATGAGATTTTTGGGGGTTAAATAGATTACACTATTTTTTGGAAACAGTTAGTTGTTGGATTTGTTAACAAGTATAACTAATTGGACTTTATAAGCTTTGTAAAATAAATTCTCAATTTGGAATTTTGTTAGAAAATCACAACCTGTACTTCAGTATATTTTTTTATTTCATGTCAGTGCAATAGAAATTAAAATAAATTCGGAATTCCAACTATCCTAAACTTTGGCCTTGGTTAAAAAATATGTATATAATTAATTGTTAAATTTGTTAGTATAAACTTGGATCTTCATTATCTGAGGCTGAACTTGCAGGTTCATACTCATCAAAATCATCTTCATCTATTAAATTAATTAGTTGCTGATTTGCAGAAGTTGTGGCCGCGGGCCTCCTTCGTTGTCGCCCATGTCGACCAGAGGAAATTGCACTATTCAACTTTTCCTGTTGGTATGTTTGCTCTGACACAAAATTACCACTCCAAACCATGACCGCACTGTCATTTCCTCCACTATAACCCTGCTGGTATTTGTCGTCGTATACGAAGCAATTCACATTTTTAAAATGACCGACAAGTTCCTTCTGAACTTTGCATGTTTTCATGTCACAGACTGAAATTGAAGTCCCTTTTGGAGCAAAGATTAATGGGGGGTCGGTATCCGCAGAGATTCCGATTTGGAAATTCCCATGTCCTTTAGATTTCCGGCCATATTTTAGCGTACAAACTAAAGGTTCTGACAGTGGGGATGTTTCTGATAACCATCTGCGGATGCAACCATCATCACCAAATGAATAAAACTCCATGCCATCTTTTCTATAGCGAATTGAAGATATTGGACCGTCATGTGCTTTTTGAAGGAGTCCAACTACAAGAGGCAATAATAATAGGTATGATCTTAGTAAATTCAAATCCTCAACGCTAATTAATTAGTATCGATTCCCACCTTGTTCTTTAAAATCGCGTGTTCGAACCCCTCTTCTTGCAACCTTAACTTCTAAAAGTCCGTAACCCCGGTAGGTGAGCGTACTTCTAATATCCCATTCTATTAAACTCCCCTCTTCACTTCCTACCATGAGTTCATACTGATTAGCCGGATTCCAGCAAACTTCTTTACTCCGGGTTAATGTTTCTGGAAGTTTTTGAATCGCAGTTCCAGTCCGAATGTCGATCAAATTTACATCGCCGTCCGAACAAGCTACAATTTAAAAGAAGAGATGTACTCAATCACTATCAAATCCTCAATTACGATCATTTTGCATTAAGTATGAGCCCACCTGCAATCATTGTTCCGGAACAAGGATTAATCTGATGTCTACTTATCACTTCGTCCAGATCATATTTATCAACTGGCTTTGCCGCATTATTCGCATCCCACAAACAAAGATTTCCGTCCGACGAACTTGTGACAAACAGCCCATTATCGGCTGGATACCATTCAACCGTGTTGATGGACGATGTATGACCTACGCGACGAGGTGCCTGGCTCACACATTTCTTCTGATGGTCAATTTCTCCAGTGAGGTTAAAAGTGTCGTGAATATACCATGACCCATCTCCAGCTCCAGCAAGGAGGCTAGATAATTATACAAATTGTTAATAAAATTATTATTGAATGTTTTTATTTATTAATAACTTGAATTGCTCACTATCGACCCGTGGCGTCAATGTCGACGGAAAAGACGGCTCCCGTGTAGACGGGTTCAACCACGGCGACAGAGCTGAGAGAAAAGTTAAGTGTTCTACGAGTTATCTCCGCAGTTTGAAACGTTTCTGCACGCAGAAGTCCTATTCGAACGAGATCTAAGCAGTTTAACATTGTGACCAGTTGTTAATTTAATAATTATTAGGCTGACTAATAATTATTATGATATAGTCATGATTTAATATAGTTAATTAAAATATACAACGAAATTTACAAAACGAAGTTTACGTTATTATTGCGATTTATTGCAAGTAAATAAATAACATTGGGATCGCGCCGATGGCTTTCCTATGCCAGCACCATTCTCTTGTCAGACTTTGAAGGTGAGAATCTCAAAATTTGAGATAAATCAACAATATTTAATAATTTATTAACTTTAATTAATTGATTAGTTATTTTTTATTAATTTTTTAAGCCACTTTCATCATCATAGCATAAATTTAGGTCGGAATAACACCGAAAATAAGTATCTATTTACGAAAATTGCGTGACTAATTAATTGACAAGTACCTCAAAAGCAATTTCAATCCAATTTGCTTAATAATTTTTGCACCCCTCTTATTCATTATTACTTTCTACTTAAGGTTATCGGTAAAACCAGCAGCACCCTACGTACAAAGATTAACAACTACAAATTCGCCCCAAAGCCTCAATCGGTTTCATCTCATCTCATGATTATATTTTCGATTTGGCCGATAGCGAAGAATTTTATGTCCATTTACTGCAACAAGCCAATCACCCACTTATTTCTAATTATCCCCCCGTATTTGCAGCCGTAAATACTCATGACATGCGCCACCAAATAAAATAAAGCTACCATTTCTTCACGTACCTAAATAAAATTTCGGTCATCCGGTCAAACCGGACAGAAAGTAATAATAATACGAAATTGAATGAGCCATACGAACAATTAAGTTTATTTTTATCTCAATCATCGTCATCTTCATTGCCTTACTTATGTATGAACGTATTTAGTAAGTATGTATATGTACATATGTGTGTATACGGTCGATTAGGAAATGTAATTTCCTTCCATGCATCCACTTCGTGTGGGCAACAAAAGAAGTGACCACAACAAACCAACAATGCAAAGCAAATGTGAGTGAAGAAGCAATTAACAATCAAACTTATATATGCACAAGTCCATTTTTAGACAAGCCAATCCAACATCCTTCTCCTTCTAGGCGCTTGCTTGATCATGACATTGTCGGAGGTTTAAAAATTAATTATCATTACTGCTAAATTATTCAAACTGACCAGCAGCAATTTATTTATTAGGCTGGGCTGCACGTTAGAATCGCTGTGTCTCACTTTGCTCATTTCATTCATTGCAGGAATCGTCTCATATTCTCAAATTGCCCATGTGACGTCTTTCTCTCTCGTCTTTCTTTCACTAAAACAACGCTATTATACGTAGGCTGTTTTTTATATAATAATAATTTGCATTTCACACCGCTCTATTGCATACTAAACTAAATATTAATAATAGTCACTCTTCAAATAAATCTGATTTATGCCATGTCCGTCCACCCCACTAAATCGAATCTTTTGGTATGATATGATATGCGTTCTCATTTTCCAAGGTCTGACCGAATTCGGAGATTTATGCCTAAGGTGGTTGGTTGGTTGGATAAGCTGTTGGTTGGATTGTGGTCATCCATCAACGTCTTGACCTGTCTGCTATACGCGGCATATTTATTTTAGTTACGTATCTCTATAAAAATAGGCATATCGTGTCGTGGTCCCACCAACAAATCGGTTATTGCGAATGGACAATGGCTAGCGGTCATTCCAATAATTTTAATTTGATGTTTTGAAATTCTCAATCATCCGACCAAGCAGACCTCCCGTAGGTTTCGTAAATTATTCCGCCACACGTTGTAAAATTCTCGGAGATGTGATTAAATTATCACGTTTGTTACTTTCTTAAATTCGCACATGTATTTTTTTCATTATAAATAATAGAATGATGAGCTTGATAATGGGAATCTCAACGAGGAGGTGGGATAATTCGGTTCAGTGTTAACAAAGGAAATGTATTTCTTTATGGTTTATTATCAGTGGCCGCGGAAGCCGTGGGGACATTAACATTGTAGGATAGGGGAGGGAGGGGTTTATATAAGATGGGCAGATGATGCGGACATCGAATAACCGTGGGGACATTGTACCTCTGTCCCCACCCTTCCGCGGCCACTGATTCTTGAGTACAGCTCACTAACATGCAAAACACAATGATAGAGACGGTTATGGATGGATATGTATAAATTATGTATGTATGTAGGTGAATAAATTATTATAGAAATTGAAAATCCGTACGACACCAGAGTAAAAAGGAGATCAAGTGAGATTTTGTACGCTCTGGTTTGAGATTTATAAGAGGAGAAACTAATAATAATATCGTCATCATCATCGTCACAAGTATAATAATTCATGATCAACACTTTGATAATCACGATAATTAGTGAATAATTGTTATGATCGCCTTAATCTAGGCGTGCACGAGGTTATTTATTTCTATTTCTACATACTCATCACCATATCCGGGTTTGTGCGTCTATAAATATTTACATTTTTAAACAAGTAAAAATTAAGCATAAAATAGTCTTGATTCTGATCAAATCCGACGATTTGATCTAATTCTTATGTAGCAGAATTTATGTAAACGAACGAATTTGAGAATTGTATGCACGCATTTTCGAACAAAACGATAAATGCTCTATGTAGTTGAGCATAACGAGTCCGTGATCTTGATCTTAATTTCTATAATATGTATTTAAACCAGGCTTTATTGTATAAACGAGTGCATACAACGAAATGAGCGTAAAAAGCGCTTATATTCGAAGAAAACTGTGTACCATAGACGTAGAAAGGAAGTAAGTAAGTGGTGTTGAAAGGTGAGTCAGCATCTTCTTTTTTTCCGTGGAAAAGTTGCAAATGCCCAAAATATACGACTTTGACGGATTAAAGTTGGTTCACTTTTCGACTTTTTTTTCGACAAAGTCAGGTCCATTTATTTACCTCACAATTAAAAGATTTACTTACTTACTTTGGTATTCAGTCAGACGGTGCGTTGCGTTTTGTGGTTTTTTCGCGGATATTTGTTATGTAAAAAAGATATACTTCTTTTGAGCTATTTGTTTGGTTTGAGTTTACGGAGCAGGTGGGTTTAAAATAGAAAGAAGTCAAGGTGTGAATTTGAAATTAAGTGGATTTTTAGAATACTAGAACTAGATTCAGGCCAACGTTGGTTTTAGAACGTGTCTTCGTGTCTTGTTTGGCGATTTTCATTTAATCGTCGGACAGCAAGTTTTATTTATTAGAAACTTGGGAATTACAGAAGAATTCAATTCTCGATACTCGATAAATAAGCATCCTCATTTAGGAATCGTTCATTACTTTAAGTAAATAAAGTAGAATTGTTAATTTAATGAGAATAGGGATTGAAGAGGCAAAGTGAGACGGATTATTTCTTCCCAACCTGACCATGACCATTTCTTGTATACCCTGACCTTATAATTTTTGTGTGTATTTAAAACTTATAAATAGTTTTACGCACTTATCAAGTAGCGAAATTTTCAGCTTTTGTCGCATCCTTGGTTTTTGATTGTCATGAAATCGAATGTCACCCTACATACTTGTTTTGGCAGAGGGTGCATTTCCGTTATCTGAGATAATCACTTGAACCCATATGTACTTGACTTGGGCATAATAATTTTTTAAATACGTGTTTGATTTCCAACTTGAATAGCTAAAGTAAAAGCAACCCTACACTTGTACGTAAATAATGTGATAATGAATCCATGATATTGTTTCTTTTTTTTGGAGCATCCTTTTCCACCTGTGCCACTAATTAGCTGCTATTTATGTATTTCACGTGTAAAAGTCAAGTCCTATTTAATTTCGACTTCTTCATCATTCCTTGACTTGTTTGTAAAGTCATCTCCGTCCTTCTCCTCGACTAGAACGTACGTTTTCAAACACAATGCGAAATAACGGGTGGAGCGTGTATGTGTACATGTGTGGTAAGAAGTGTATCTTGCTTGATGGTCTCGCAAATGACATGACACTGCAAATTTTTGATCAACTTGTACTTACACATTATTTTTAAATAAATGAGTCCAGTCGAAAATTGGCGTTTGTATTAATTGCAATAAACACTGTCATGCATTCTTGACGAGTAAGTAATTAACAAGTCTAAAAGAAGAGAAGCCTAAAACACTTGAATTTGTATGTAAGTGGGCTCTTGAATTATGAAATGATTACCTGCGTAGAAAGTTGACAGTTTATTGCGAAAGCATGAATTACAAGATTTCGCGAAAACCGTAACAGCCGAGGCAGGCAGGCTTCAAGAATTGAAGAGTTTTACATAAAGAAGAGAGACAGATAAGGCGACATGTGGAGTGGGACAGGGGTTGACACACACATGTCGCCGGTTATCAAGAGTAGTTTTCTTTTAAGTGAAAAGTCGTAAGAGATGGTTCGACACAATGGATACACAAATTATTCAATTATTGAGTGCATCAGTGACAAAATTACTGATAGCCGTGCGTGAAATGTGCCAAACGGCGTTAACATAATGCGAATTAAGTACTTGCAGCCATTCATGACCACCAGGTGACAATTTATATGTGTGAAAGAAGAAGCCGTAGGACACGTTTGGTACAAGTAATTCATTACATTAGGAGCATTATTTAGAGACTGAATTTAGCAGTTCTTTGAATATAATACAACTTGTATTATATTTGGATACAAGTAAAACTTGGGCTTAGTTTTGATGTGGACGAGTGGTTTTCAAAATGGAAGGTAAAACCAGTCATGTAATTCTACAAGATCAGACCAGACCACTAAACACTTTTTATTCAATTTGTGATGAAAAGAGATTCAGAATTGAAGCGGAACGACGCGTGCTTTCATTTCGGTTTAAATTTAGCAAGTCAACTAAAGCTAAAAAGTCGGTGGATGGTGGACTTGTACTTTAGTTGGCCCCATTTTAGTCAGAATTTTGTTCTACAAAAATTTTACGAAAATATGACTGTAATAGAATTGAAATTATCAAAAATAACGAACAGTTTCCGAGATTTTAATTTTGAAATTATCTCTGATTTGAAAATTCCTAAACCTTTTACTCCACCTTAATTACCAAAGTTATTAAACGGCCCATAATGTATGCACAAATTATCATGCTCACTTGAGATCAATCATAAAATTGGATATGTGATGGTAAAAGTGGTTTTAACGAGATTGAGACCAGCAGCCGCAGAAGAGGCAAACGTGCCGATAAAGAACGCCCAACATTTGCCACAGATCAATGTAAGCAATAGCGCAACAAAGTGAAGTGTGATCCAAGTTGACGAGGAAAGCTTGGGGGTGTTGGTTGGTTAGTGGAGATAGAAAGAAGCCCTGATGGTGAATGATAAGGTTTGCCTGACTTGTAAATAGATAGGTGGTTTGGTTGTGACGAGATTTCTTTCTGGTACTCGTCTTCTCATCCGAGAGTGTAAAAGTCTATAAAAGAAGGCCCGTTCAAGACATGAGATTCACTTCTTGTTATCTCTTCCACTAATTTACACCTCGGTTTAATCTTGATTAGCACCTTTCTGTCTGTAACATAGATACGTACAACTCCGAGTGGGTGAAATTCTGTGTGCATATTAGTGAGTGAAAAAAGGTCTCCATATTTGTAAAACTTGGTGTGGACTTTCTCCGGAAAATTTGAAAAGGTGAGATTTTTGGAATTTTTGAAGGGTTGGAATATATTTTAGAAATTGTTTTTGGGTGGGAATGCATGATAAAGTATGGTCATACGTATAAGAGAAAGTATTTAGTATGTAATGGGTCATGTTTTTTGCGAATAAAATTAATTTGCAATTTAAGATTTCTCAATTATTACTCAGAAATGACTGGATTTTCTAAAATTTAATAATTTTTGAATCGAATATTTTAACTTTGTTTTGAGATTGTACCGCAAGTGGCGTCAAACTCTCGCTTAAAAGTAACCTTTTTTAGCAACATTGTATTTCTGTAGTTATTATGATAGTGCTGCGATTCTGAAGAACTTACAATTTGCAACATTTTCAAGAACAATCATGTTTCGCTTTTTCGATTTATGTATTCAAACTGAGACCATAAATAGCCTTGCTGCTCCATTGGACTAGGTGGAAGCGTGAAATGATGTGAAATGCCACCCGTCACTTGAAATCATTATTACCCATTGTTGTCACGTTAAAATTGCTACACTTGTTATTTTCTCGGCTATTTTTGTTTCTCATGTACTGAACATTCAGCTAGTCATCTAACACTGGTTATGCTTCACATACATATTTACGACCAACGCAACATTCGGCATTGTCATTTGTTGCCAATCTCAAATTGAGTTATCATTATACTTTATTGTTTGCTTGAAAAAAAAAATATGGGTGGCTATATCTTTTGGCATCTGGTCGTGTATAATTCGCGTATTGGATACAATGAAATTCGCAAGAATCGGACACTTCATTCGCACTTGGTACATACAAAATTTTGTTCCTGTTGTGTAACAAGAAATTGATAAGCCAGAATTTTATGAATCGTATTTTTCGGGACAAATATTTGACAACGATACACGCATATCTATCGATCTGTTTGTCTCATAAAAAATTTGCATGTTCCGATAACACACCGTGAAAAAAGTAGAGTGTATTAGTAAATTGGGTCACCCCAACTTTTCCCACACCTCTGATTACTTACTTGGATTCTAATCATCCCCTGCATTCAGAACGCTAAATGCTTCAATTGTTCCGTATTGTTGTGGTGGTCAACCCACGAAGATGACTGCTCATTAATCTCTCCATTCTGCAAGAAGAACCAATCCGCTCTAATTTTGGCTTTTCGAGTTTCATCCCATTGTTGAACTTGACATTGACAGTGATGATGATGATGCTTGCTTTTTGAATTGATGCAATTGAAAAAAGAAAGATCGCAGGGTCCGTCGTCACTCTATAAATGGTGGTGCGTCGTTGTTTGATAAGAGCTTATTTATTATTTCTCTTGTTGTTGGTATTTTGCGGTCATGTCAGAGAAGTGGAAGTTTGAAAGAAAAGTAAGAATGAAAGTTGGTTGGTGGTTTGATCGTACATGCGGCTTTTTGTTCCTTCTTTTGTTTGAAAAGTGATGCATGAAGTGCATAAATATGTACATACGTAAATAGAATGTGGTGGATGGATGGATGGTCAGACGGATTTATTTCGCGGTTACTTTTTTTAGCATGCATGCTCCCAATTATTGGAGAGTTTAATTACTCGTCTAATCTCAACTTGGGTATGAGACCATTTTTGTCTTGTACCACTTTTACTTGTCGTATCGTATCCTAGTTTTCCTTTAAGTTTTAAATTACTAAAATTTCACAAAGGTGAAATTAGACTTCGAAGAAAAATATATAATAAACTTGAGAATTTCCAATAACCTGCGATTTATTCCTAATAACTGAGGATGTTATTTTTACCACTTTTACGTGTACCCTCGTTTTCATTTAATTTTTAAATTTCACAATGAATGATGAAGAATGATGAAGAGTGAATGATGAAATTAGACTTCAAGAACTAATAAACTTGTGAGTTTCCAATAATGCTGATTACTGATTATGCTCTTTTTTCAGTTTCTAGGTCAAAATGAGATCGCAATCTTTACAAACGATAGGCCTACGGGCTGCAATTGTCCTGGTGGTAGCAATTGTTGTGAGGACGACGCAAGGTGCCACCGAGTCGGTGAAAGCACATCACATTGCCATTGATGCCGAGCCGAGGTCATCCTTCTCACCCACGGCGTCCTCCTCCCTGGCAGCCGCGCAATCTAGGTCAGGTCAGTTGGTGTATGCGCAGCCGCGCGATGCATATGCGGGGTCAACCTCGTCGGGCGGGTATTCCACCGTGGGTTCAGCTGGGGGTTCAGCAAGCTCCTCGTCGTACGGGGCACCGGCGTCGTCAAGTTCATCGGGTGCGTATGGAGCCCCAGGAAGTCAGAATCCACAAGGTTCTATGACCTACTATTACTATCACTACCCAGCAGCTGCCGGCGGTGGGGGGAATGGGGGTTGGAGTGGGGGAGAAACTACGGGTAGGTTGATTTACGTATTTTAGGAATTTATGTATGTATGGATTCTGGGAAATATATAAAGTGGAATTATTTTTTTAATTTTTAGGATATTCCGATGATGAAGGATTTGATGGTGGATTAGGATCTTTGGGAGGGCTTGGAGGCCTTGGCGGTTTGGCTGGACTTTTGGGGGTCAAGGGTTTGAAGGGAATTGGAGGTTTAGGACTTTTGGCGTTGTTCAAGCTGTTCAAGCCTTTATTGTTGCCACTGTTGCTCCCACGTATGTGTACTACTTTTTACATGGCGTGATAAAATATTTAGGACTTAAATTGTAATACGATGAAAAATGTATATTTGCAGTTTTGCTGTTGTTGCCTCTTCTCTTGTTGTTCATCCCAATTGTAAGTAGATAAATCCAAATAATAAGAATTTCCACACTACATACGATAACTTTCTCTAATAATATTTTTTTTGCTACATTTTTTAGCCCGTCATCACCATTCGTGAGTTGATTTTTGTGTCAAAATCTAACGCATATCATATGCTTATCTAATATATTTATGTGTAAAATGTCAAATTCTAGCAACTGCTGGTGGAAGAACACTTGAACCCGTCGGATTGGGTGCATTCGTACAAGAGAAAGTTTACAATACGGTCCAAGTGGCGCAAGACGTTCTCACCAGTGGACAATGCATAGAGAGGATAAGTTGCGAGATCAATAAGCGAAGTCATGGGACCTTTGTGGAGAAATTGATCACAGGGTAAGTTTACTGGATATCCTGTTATCTGAAAGAGTGAAACATTGACCTCAATTAATTCTAATTTCTTAGCGTATTCGAGAAAACGGAGGGCTACTTATCTAAAAAGTGGCGTCGTGGAATGCGCGCCTTCGTCGATGCCAGCCATCAAGCCGAAGGATCCCCGAAATGCTCGAAATACTCGTGCGACCTGTACCGAGAGGTCACCTCGCGAATGAGTTACAACAATGAAGTCAACCCCAGCGCGAACGAAGCCATTCCAGACTCTGAAAAGATGTAATTTAAATACGACACGTTAATTAACACACAAAATCGACCTTACCTACAATTACGAAACAAACAACAAAAAAGCCTTCACCAAAGTCACCTCACTCACTGAAATATATACGTATCAAACTTTTCGACTCTACACCCAAATCAAGACTGACTCTAAATAAATAAATAAGCGACGACGTCGACGTCCAAATAGAAGTAGCAAAAATCCGTAAAAGAGAGCAAACACACATTAATTTCCTGCGTATCTACCCTGTCATTACTTGATGACATAGAGAAATCAACAATCAAATTTAATAACCAATTAATGATGGTCCTTTAAAATTAAACATGCCCAAAAAGTGGTCAGCTATCATTACTTATCTCGTCAACTTATTGTCAGCAGCTGACCAGCCCACTACAGAATTTTTTTTATTCCTTTCGAGTGAAATTTGCTCTTAAAAGTCTCAAGAACAGATTTTCTGCCCAACTAATAATTCACGCTTGTTAACAAGGCAATAAAAAAACTTACATGATGGAATGGACTCGTTCTCCTCAACACTGCCTCCCTAAAAAAATTGTTGATTTGATATCAACTTAAAACTCGGATGCGCAAATATTTTCAAGAAATATGCCAAGACTTGGATGGACACCTGTTTATAGCCACACTTCTCAAGAAAGAATGGTAACCCAATCCGCCCAAAGAAACGCCAACAAACAATTCGAATCTGTGTCACCGTCAGTATCGTCGTCGTCTCTCTCTCTCCGAATTTCAAAACAATTTTTCCTGCTCGATAATTTATGCAGGAATATAATGAATCAAATTTGTTTATGTGCCGGATGTCCGTATGGATGGATGGATGGCTAATAATAAATGAATGCCTACGTACCCCACAAGAAGAACAAGTAGTAAAAGGAAGGCATCGTAAAACTTTCCCCACTTCACTCCCTCACACCCTGCGACAGGTGGTGGTGATGGTGGAAATTAAAAATTTTAATTGCAAATTCCAATGATTGGCACCCATTCGTCGTATCTAGCCCTTCTCCTTGTCATTCAGAAAAAAAAGTTCCCTCCCGGATCACTGCTTACCATTAGAGGCAAGTCAAAAGTCAAGACTTTTCCTTGACCATGATGACGATGACGACTCTATCGAACAACAAACAGCAACAAATTCTCTCCTTCACGGTGTATCGTATGTGAGAGAATTAAGGTACATACTACATACGTAAATACCTCGGATGAATATTAATGACACGACACCAACACGTCGACCAAAGAGAGAGGCGACGCCCAATCAATAGGAATCGTATTGTTGTAGCATCGGGTGACGAGACTCTGCTGCCTGGCCCCGTTGACCCACCACATCGTCACATGTATCCACCATCCACCACTTATTCAAACGAGCTAATAATGGACATTTGTTTTTAATAGTGATGCTATTCTTGCCCAGAATTAGTATTTGCGTTAGTTATGCATACTTGCGAGAGGTATGTGCAAGATGAGACTGACGACGCCAACAATGCAGTCCATCCATATGTGCATGCATAATGCATATACTACACCACCAACAATCAAGAGTTATAGCCACAAACAATGCAAAGCAATGAATGATGAGGAAGATCCGAGATTCAGAGATTGAATTCAATTAACCTTTACGACCAAGTCCCCGTTTATTCGTATTTCTGGCCCATAAAACAACTATAAAAGCATCTTGCACGATAAAACAAACGCCACACTCCCCCACTAACCAACCAACTGCGAATAAATCGTCGTCGTCCTTCTGTTGTTCACGCATATTGAGTCTCAAAAATACATCAAGAAGAGAGGAGAAGGACGAGGATAAGTAGTAGAATTTGTATTCCTTTAGAGAAAAATGCGGCTACGGAAATTGTCCACTTTTTCGGTGGCAATTTGCCTCTTATTTTGTGGGTGTGGTGGTGCAAGAACTGCAAGTTCGGTGGGTGGTGGTGGTGCTTCCAGTGACAAGGATGGCCTACATTCGACACATCGACAGTACAGTCACTCTTTGGACACGGGAAGTTCTGTTTCATACGGTGGGAGTAAACCCATCGTAGCCAGTTTGGCGTCTGCTTCTGCGGGATCATCGACCTATGGAAGTGGGGAGGCGTCGTCGGGGGCACGAAATTCGGGAGTGTATGATTCCTCCAAGTCGTTCACGAATCAACAAAGTTCCGTCGAGTATGGAGGAGCGGCGGAAGGGACGGGAAATTTCCATTCTCTGGTAAGAAAAAAATATTTGCGTGTGGATGCAATGCAATTTAGTGTTTTTTTAGACAAGTCGTTAAACGTTCTTGTGGCCTCATAATTTCCAGTTCCCGTCACCATCGTCCTCATCTTCCGGTGGGTACCAGCCATCCTCTGGTTATCAGCCCTCATCTGGTGGCTATGCACCTGCAGCCCCAGTCGTGGGAGGTTATCAGCCCAGCAGCCCTTCAATCCCCTCAAGTAATAACAATATTCAAGGACAACATCCACCAAACATTGAAACGACCCATGGTCCGTCGTATACTTACTACTACCAACATTACCCCACAGGTAGTATTTCCGGGTCCCACTCCGGGGGTTGGAGCGCTGGTGGGGGCGAGGGACATGATGACGGTGGTTTCGGCGGTTTAGGCGGCCTTGGCGACTTTGGCGGTGCGGGAGGAGGAGCTGGTGGGGCTGGGGGAGCAGGAATTGCGGGTGTTCTAGGAGTCAAAGGTCTCAAAGGGCTGGGAATTTTGGCCGCGGTAGCGAAGGTAAGACAGGAATTTGGCATGTGGGTCTAATTTAATTAAGCTTAATTAATTCATTAATTAATTACAGGGAATCTTGGCCATTAAACCGTTCCTTATTTTGGGATTGTTACTTCTCATTGCCCTCCCAATCCTGTTGTTGTTCCTGCCAATTCCCATCATCACCGTGACCGGGAATACGGGGGTCGGAGCTGGTCGTTCTAAAGACCCATCCGTCATTTCCTACCTCGCCGATCTGTCTCAACGTGTCCTCACTTCCGAAGAATGTTTAGAACGATTCATCTGCAAACTGCCCAAAGCCCCAGAACCTTATCAGAAACAGGCCAAACAATTGTGGGATTCGTATGGCGAAACGGTAATAAAAAGTCACAGGCTGAGTCGCGGTCTAGGTGCATATTTTGACACGAACAAGGAGAAAAACCGAGTCTTCAAGTGCAACCAGCGCTTCCAATGTTCCAACAAGTTTATGTAATCGAAATTTTTCACTCAATAATTTATTAATTTGACAAATTATGTCGACAATGTCCCTGATTTTGATATCTTTACACACACACAACGAAACTATTTACTTACATTGGGAACTTGAGATTTTTTTGAGGGATACGGGCTGACTGACTGTTTTATAATGACGACGACGAGAAAAGTGACTTGACACTTGACAATTTTTTTTCAAAAAGTTGGACATCTTTACAGTATTACATATTTTTAACACGTACAGAGAGACCTTACGAGGACGCTTATTAGATATTATACGATACGATATATATTGAAGGACGAACCAGTGACGACATTATTATTTAATTTAAATGTATATTTAGTAGTACGACCTTATCACCGACTTTAGCAGATGATAACGTTGCTGCTGCTACAAAACTTACCGAACGAACTTACGATACGAATTATTATTACGAGTTGAACTTTTATACAGAGAAACGCACCTTCTTCCACAACCTTTAATTTTTTTTACCGACTTTTACTTTACCCGACTGTGATTTAATATTGCTCTCAGCTCGAGACAATTTGATTGTGACATATTTTTTTTACGTACGAGACACTACTTTTTTTTTACTTGGTACGAAAAAAGGACACACTTTTGTGCAACTTTTCTTGCCTCTTGTGCTGACTGTTTGACTTGATTGTTTTTTTTACGTGACGAAAATGAACGAAATGATGAGAATTTTATAATTTATTTTTTGAAAATTATAAAAATTATAATTATATTGTAAATATTTATTTTTACAGTAATTGTTTTTGTTATAATTCAAGTATTGATGATTTTATCAATTGTTGTTGTTTTTAATATTATTTGTTTTGCAAAATTGCACCCTTGTTTTTATACGTGTTATGTTAAATAAAAGGAGAAGATGATATTTCAAATTAAAAAGGTGAAGACATTTAAATATTAATTAATTCGGTGGAAAAGTCCAGTTGTAAAAAAAGATGGATCAATATTCTAACCACCACCACATGCGGCACTTATTTGCATATAAACATTTGAGACATCATTAATGTATCAGTTTATTTATAGGTTGATTGACAGATAATAATGGAAATACAGTTAATTTCATCAACGAATACGGCATTATTTTAAACACTAATTTGCATATGATGAATCACAACGGCCAAACGGTTGTCACTGATTACGACGCTGCGTACATGTCAAAATGTGTAATTGTAATAACACTGACATACATATACTGTCGGCCTAATTATAAAATCTGACGGTACAGATGTACTTACATTAAACGTTTTTTAAATTCAATTTATTTTTGAAACTCTTTAACTAAACATTTTGTGAATTGAGCACTTTAAAAATATTTAGAAGATCAATTTTATAAATAAGTGTTTACTTTAATACATGTTTTAAACCTTATTTCTTTTTTACTGCATGCACTGGTTCTGTTGGTAAATGTATTTATTTAAATCTAGAGAAAGGGACTCAATGAACTAACAATAAACCTACCTGAGCATTTATGTCTCATAAAATTGATAATTGGTTGCATTTCGGAGAGGATGGATGGATGTACAATATGGATGATGATCAAGTGCAGTAAGTAATCTTATTCAGAGTGTGCATGTATTGTTGGTAGGGATGCATGCATGTTTATAAATTGAGGTCAGATTATCCGTCCCTATTTTTGGCATGATCATATCAGATTTAGAGAATAGAATGTAATGAATTTAAATGATTATCGTGCTTTAGTAGGACAAATACCCGCGTGTAGTCGTCTAACAAACGTCGTCGTCGTCGCCCGTGGCCATGCATGTATGTACCATCTGCTTGGCGTTGAGAGAAAAAATGTTTTTTTTTCTGTAGTCTCATAAATTTGTGGTATGTATTACTCATCGTAGTCAATCTATATTTGAAATTTGTATGAAAATTAATTTCGTAAGTAAAAGTGACTCATAAATTTGTACCGAGAAGGGAAGAAATAAGAGGAGAAATTCTAGTTTGTAAACTTGCTTTTTGTGCAGAATGGAGGTCTCCCAGCGGATGCTCTCCGATTTTGGCAAAAATTAATGTCAATAGATCACAAATGAAATTTGCAGAAGAGATTTGGTTGGGCAGAGATTATTGCATCCAAATAGGAGAAAATGGACCTAAAAGTTGTACACTTTCTAAATTTACTGCGCGTTTTCTCCTCTAAGGATGCAAATATCCCTGCCAAACGTGCGCGTTGGGAGATCGTGTATTTTTCAAATTTCAGGTTAATTAAATTCGTTATCGATTAACACGACAGATAAGTTGGTCAAAATCAGAGAGCATCCACTGGGAGACCTCCATTATCAGTAGGAAAACTAACCTTATAATATTATCTAGCGCACTTAACACAACTTTCGACCCTGTACGTATGCATATGAAAGCGAAATTAGTGGTAAAAGGGTATCGATTACGATTCTCAAGTATCAATGCCGCACACATAAAACAGAACTTTTAGTACGTCCAAAAATGAGAATTATACTGCTTTCCTTTCCATGAGATCATTAGGACGCTTGACTTTGACTCACTCCTCTCCTCCCGTATGTACATATCCCATGTCAATTAATGCTCCTGAATCCTGATGTGGATCGATTTGGTTAGGTTTTGTTTATAAATTGCTGTAATGTGGTTGGTAAGTCGTAGAGAGAGGTGTATTATTTATAATGGGCGTTGTAATCAAGTCGTCTCCTCTTCTTCTCCCCAAAAAGGGAATTGACCCTGACCATGGCCATGAGTGAGTTGGCAAATCATTATCATCCTGCATCGACACTGGGGTGACAAGAACGGTTCTTATTAGATATGTTCTATATACATAAATATATCGTAACGTTGGTTGTTTGGTGGCAGTTTGGTGAGTTGACTTGTAAAATGAGATGATTTATTACATTACACAAATGAATGAATCCAGATTGAAGTATATTTAGAATTTTGCATGCATGACCAAATTGACCATTAATGAATAATGGTGCTGGGATATACATAACTTCATTAATTTCATGTATATTTATACAGAGGGGGGCTCGCTTAAGTCAAGTACAAAGGACGGATTTTTCGATAAGTTCTTGGCTTTGTATTTAATTGGAATTATTTAAATTTAACTAAAAAGTGTACCAAATTTTTCTTCAAATCAATTGCAAAATATTATCTAAATTTCTTATTTTCGTTTGTGCTAATTTTTTTCATGCGAAAAATCCACCCTCAGTACTACGCTTTATTACTTGTGACAATTACGTTTAAACATTAATATTTATATCACTCGACCAAAATTGCGTTGAACTCTGCTCTGTCTGTGTTGATTTAGGTAGATATTTATGTTGGCAGTGAGGAATGTGCCTAATGCATAAAATATAATAACACGCTCGTGTAGATACTTACGTACATATTTCTCATTTAGCTGTAGGCGACGATCCAGTGAATCTTGTCCATCTCGACAAAAACACGGAGATTCGCATCGCTTATAAGATTCAGCTTTTGTTCGAGGGGAATAACGAACACCATCAAATCAACGACGCGATGAGACTTCTTCATACTTTAAACCTATGCATTGCTTTATTACTTTGGTTTTGCTGAAAGGATCGAGTTTGACTTGAGAAGAGGAGAGTGAGCTCATCCTTCATCTCATCTGACTGGACGACTTGGTTGGTTTGGTACTATTACCAACTTGGTAATGCATACATGTCCATCACGGTTTTGCTGCATTATTCACTAACAACAAACAAGGAGTCATTTCATGAGAGAGAGAGTTTGACTTGACTGAAGCGAATCTCGTCACGAAAATTCCAGCAGTGCCACGATACATCCCACGGCAGTATGTTTAATGACTAAAAAATCCTTTAGCACGGAGAACGGACAGACTTGCCATTTATAATATTTATTCTAAATACATACACACAATATTTTGCAAGGATTCATTTAGACTGCAGCATCAAAATAAGTCCACGTCCACGTTGTTTTGCTGGTGGTGGAGAATTTGATGTGATCTTCAGATTACTCTCACTCTTATCATTGGCAGACTACGAGTAGGAGCCGGTAGGACTGACTTACTTACTTGCGCGATAGCAAAACTACTTGAAATCTAATTTCAGACAGTTGTGTTTGTATGTAAACATCGGAAAAATATCCGTTGACCTTATTTGTTTTTGTGAAAAATATGTCCGCCATGATTCACGGAGGACATGGGGGAGATTCGCCCGAATTGAAATTTGCGAACGCATACCAACCCAAGATTGACCCCGATTCTCCAGGCTTATCGGGACCCAGTAAGGAATTCACTCACAGGACGAGGACCACTCCTCGGGTAAAGTGAAAGTTAATATTATTCTATTTTTCTAGTGGAAAATGGAGGCATATGTATGAAAAATATTTGTGAAACTTATTCACGTAAAACTTTTGTGGACACAGGATGAAGATGGATTTGGAAGGAGCGAGATTGGGAGAAGGTGCTGGGAGTGTGAGTGTCCGTCGGGATATATTCCGCATACTTGGAGGTAAGAATATACGTATAAGAGCATACCAATAGATGATAAGAGCGGATGAATATGTATGGAAAAGATCGTTAATTAAGTATTTCATCATTTTTATCAAAACGTTAGCTCGTAGTAAATTGTGTGTACACAAAAAATTGTGGAACACACTGTATTCGATTCACTTTACTAAAGAAGACCCAAATATGTACATCTCCATTGTTTTTCGGCCGTATGTATGTTACCAAGTGTTGAATGCACGCATAATTACATGTAAATAAAGGGCGGAAACAAGGCCAAGTCCAAAATTACATATCTGTAGAATGAAATGACCATACCATAAAAAATGTAGATTTTTTGGTCGTGCATTCAGTCCAGTCAGGTTACCTCATCGAACTGCGAATTCCAGACGTATTTATCTACATCAAAATATCTAGTGTTTCGCACATACAAAAATGCCAATGTTACTACTCACTGCCTAAAATACGGCTTCTTTTTTCGCATCATTCTCATTATTCTATTATGTAGTGACTAATTATTGTACTGCAGTGTCACGTGTGGGCGGATCAGTTAGCCCATTATCACAAGAGAGACTAATGCTAAAAAGAAGTTATGTCCTGCATAATGGATGGAGATTCTTAAGCACAAACGAATCATTCCAAGAGGCGATTATGTGTGTGTCCATTATTTAGATAATAAAAGTCAGATTCAATTAAGACCTTGGGTCCACCTTGCAAATAGGATTGGATAATTTGACCGGATTCCCATTAATTGAGTTTTTGTGCAAATAACGAGATACGTAATTCCTGACTGGATTCGTCTTGCTTTGCTCATCAACTACTTTAAACCTGACTAACCAATTATGTATGCATCAGTGGCCGCGGAAGCTGTGTGGACATCTGGGGACATTAACATTGTAGGATGGGGGGGGAGGGACGGGTTTGTATAAGATGGGGGGATGATGGGGACATCGAACAACCGTGAGGACATTGTCCCTCTGTCCCCTCAAGCTTCCGCGGTCAATGTTTGTATATTATCCAGTCACAAAATATGTAGATGGTTGGTGGCGATGTTTTTTTAGAGGTGACTAATCTACGGCACGTCTACTTAAAAATATTGCAAACCTAATCCTTTTGTCGGCTGGATATGTGCAGACATCATGTTACATAGATTTCTCATCTCAAATAGCAGACGTTTCTACTGTACACAAACTAAACATTTCCACGATACGAGGATGGATATACGTGCTAATAATGGTGCGATTTTTGTGTGATGCAAACCGCATATTATTATTAACCATATGGCTTTCGTGTCTTATTTATTGGTGCAGACAGAGAATGGACAAAGTGATGATTGACTCATGTACACAAATTTGAAAATGGGGGTAAAATATGGGGAAAAATTGGGAATAAATGTCGTGAAGGGATAAATATGTATGTACGTGGGGGTGACGCTATCCGTGAAATTGTGTCGTTTTTTTTAGACGCATGGAATCGGAGTATTTGATCAAATACTGACCTTTAGCATTTAACGAAGAATGAGAGGAAGGAACAGTGGCCGCGGAAACCGGGGGGACATCTGGGGACGTTAACATTGTAGGATGGGGGAGGGAGGGGTTTATATAAGATGGGGAGATGATGCGGACATCGAACAACCGTGGGGACATTGTCCCTCTGTCCACACCCTTCCGCGGCCACTGGAAGGAAATCGTTCCGTGGAATGTTCGAGATATTCTTTTCATTTCCGGCTAAATAGTAAAAGTAGTGTTCCACCCATTATTACATTTTTTACGGAGAAATGTACGCGGGTGGGTGGCGGTGTTGACTTGAGAGCGGTTGGAGAAGTTAAGTTAAGCTAAGCGAATGAGTAGCTCTCAATGATTATGATTATCACCAACTTGGTCGTGGTTGGCTTTTTATTGTTATTGGGATATTCATTGCGTTTCGCATGTCTCATAGTACCGCAACGTTAGCTTGAGACTAATTCCCCGGGGAGGGGGATTATTAACTGTGGTGTGTATATATCAAAGGATGGGAAAATTTACGGTGGAAAAACACAGATTCGTAGTATTGCAGTCTGAATGTGTTGTGTGCGACCAAAGTTGCAGTGTAAGACGCACTTTCATCTAAATTGGATTTGTTGTATTGAAGCATTTTCTCTCGATGTAATGGTTTGGATGAATTCTTTCTTTCCACGCGGTGCGATCACTTGGAAGGAAGTAAACAGAATTGTCATTCTCGTGCACCTTTTTTATCGTGGTGTGGCACGGATGGATAAAATTCTATGATTTTCAATCACAGTTGAATCAAAAAGTCTGTCTTGAGTTTTTTGAAGTCAATTTTTCTGGTAGCATGTGCAACTATGAAGATGAATTGGAAATATTCCGGTGTATGTAGGTACATATGTAAAAACCTAATTTTTGACAATACCTACACACCCTTTTAGTCCGAACAGCCGCTGTTGTAGTAATTTTCCATTGTATTACAAGAATACGTGTATTTATAACCATTCATCCATCTTAAACCTTGCAAAATTCCGCGAATAAGTTTGCAAATAAGTTTCATCTTTCTTTCACTCAACTTTCACCCTATAAATGAGCCAGCTTTCACTCCGTTTATACGTACACCCACCTACCTACGTCAACTTGCTTGATATACTTTCTTCTTCTCCCCCATCTGTTCAATATAACTGTATACACGTCGAGATTTATTCCAGCTCAAAGAAAAGGGTCGAACGGGGTAATAAACACACTCACCTGCGACTTTTCCCCCATGGTCATCTGGTCTGGGCCATTTTCTCCTCCTCCTCCTAGAATTGGGCCAAGCAAGCCTGTGAATATCTCCAGAGCTGACCAGCGCCACAGTAATTTATGTGATGTCAGGGTGTGACTTGGTAGTGACGTTTCCACCAACCATCTCGTAGCCCAATGTCGAAAAACTCATTTTGTTCCGTGGAAATTTATTGGGAAAAGCTCCAACTGTGATGTAAGTAAGTAGTGGGAGTAGTAATATGAATGTATATACTCTCCAAAAGTGGCCGCGGAAGCTGTGGGGACATTAACATTGTAGGATAGGGGAGGGCGGGGTTTGTATAAGATGGGGAGATGATGGGGATATCGAACAACCGTAGGGACATTGTCCCTCTGTCCACACCCTTCCGCGGCCACTGCTCTTCGGCTGACTGAATGCCAGGGAGGAGGATAAAGAGAGAAAAGTTTGCTAAATACATGCAGAGATTTTATTTCATGTCCAACATCTGTTCTTTCCATTTCAACTAAAATATAGTCGACGAGCCCCTCACGCTGGATGTCAGTCTTTGAAAGCTTTGTTCAATCTGAATCTATTCCAAGTCCAACAAAGTGAAAAGAACTCAGCACTCAAACCTTTTTCTCGAGTTACAAGTATAACAAGATTTTTCCCCCTTTGTGCCAACACAATCAAGAATATGCCCAGAGTATTTGTTGGGTTTGATTTGGTTCATTTCCGAAACTAATATAACTCCAAGGCCGACTGATGGATAGATTGGTAAAAACGTAGTTTTTTTCTTATTTGCACGTGTGAGATGGATGACAAAGAATTAAAAATTTGGGATTTCGCCGTGTTTTTTTGCACAAGGAGAAAGCATGAGAGTGGTTTCTTTAATAATAGGAACAGATTTTTTGCTCAAGAAGAAGGGAAACCAAGTTCAATTTGGAGTGAAATCAATAACGTTAATTCAATGTCGCAGGGCGGAGTAAGTTTTACTTTTTTGTGAGGCGAGAACTTTCTCTCACATAAATCACCCTCATGTTTTCCCACCTTTTAATCACAATTGTACTGCTTCCGTTACCAACCAATCTGGAACTTTCTTTTCTGATCAGTCTATAAAATCCGGGGCCAGCAGCAGTACGACACGAGTGAAAAAGTTTATTCGTTTCCGGAAGAAAGGGAAGAAACAGGGGAGAACGAAATTCAAGAATTTTGAGACTATCTCCGATTTCAATATGTTGCAGACAGTGGCCGCGGAAGCCGTGGGGACATTAAAATTGTAGGATAGGGGAGGGATGGGTTTATATAAGATGGGGAGATGATGGGGACATCGAACAACCGTGGGGACATTGTCCCCCTGTCCACACCCTTCCGCGGCCACTGATTGCAGAAATGTATCTCGTCTTACGACACGACATTCATTGAATTGATTTCTGCAACATTTTTCTTTTATTACGTTACTCCCCTCGTCTCATCTTTCTCTACATATTGATAAAACTGAGCTTGTTCTGAGAGAACAAGAGAATGATAACGGCGAAGCATTTTCGTCTGTTGTCTATTTATTGCTAATTACATTAAGGAAGGAATGCAGCAGAGTCGCAGTACATTTAGAAGCTCGTACAAGGCATACATACAAAAAATCGTGAATATTGCGACTATGGCCCCCCAATAAAAGTGAAAGCAGCGAGAAGACCCTGACATTCCCAAAAAGAGAGAAAGGACAACAGACTGCATTGTAGTCAAATAAATAAACTCTTCTCTGACTCTGAACCAATTGAAACAGAAATGCTGTCACAGAAAAACATTATTTCCTCCACGTTCACGTCCACCCATATCGTCACGTGTTTTATACTGTCTTCTTAGTTTCTCTCGACTTTTGACAGTTTTTCATAAGTTGGGATGATTTGAGAAACTTTGTTGGCACTAGATCGCTACCATTTATCAAAACAATGGCATTTTCTTCCCCCCGTCGCAATAGATATGTAGAGAGCAACTTTTAGCAGAAAAACATCGCTCGGAGGAGCAATATTTCACTACAAGTCGCAATATTCTGCTACCACACCCAACAACCATTCTGTTCAATTGCATTATACATACTGCTCGCTGCATGAATGGATGCGAGAACATCTTCAAGGACGTCGTGGAGTGGAGAAGGGCGAATATGGGACAATCCACTGCACATAATTTTTGGCCACTTTAGCAGATTTTTATTATGTTAAGTACTCCAATGTATGAAGGACGCTTTGTTCTTGTTCTTCTTATCCAGATGAACAAAGT